ATGAAGAAGATTCTCAAGTTTAACTCCCTGTAGCTCCTGGTAAACGAAACAGGTAGCAAGCGATCACCAACACTCTGGAGAATTCAATCCAGCCAGCTGTATAAAGCAGTAGCTCTCAACTTTTTGCCCTGCAAATGTTAAAGGCTTCTGTTTCTTAAAGCCCAAGCCAACACTGCCAACTGTCAGAGATTCTAGGACATGAGCTTCCAAATATATAGAAGGTCAGAGGTTTAGAACTACCAACTTAAAGCAACTTCCTGTGTATTGTGTCCAAACCTGATACGATATGGCATGTTATTTGGCTTCTGTAAGAGGCCGGAGATGAATTCTGCCTCCTAATCCGCTCCAAGAGAAAAAAATTCTAGGTTCTCTTCTATGTGGTCCTAAATACAACTGACAGTAAATCCAGTTAATTGACACTTTTGTCAGTTTACTGGATTTATAACAGAGGTGGAATGTTTTAGAAACAAGCCAACAAATGTTATACATTTTTTGCATTCTCTGGAGTACTCTTCCCCTCATCAGAACAGTAGCCATTAGGCACACAAGGAAGTCATTTTGTCACATTTGAAGAAAGAAAGAGCTAGTACAGGAGTACTATATATAAAAAATAAATGAAATAAATAATAATCCTAAAACTGCAGAGATGCAAAACAAAATGATTTTTTACTCCATTCTCTGAGCTTCATTACCCAGGTATTCTCAGAAATAGTGATAAAGCATTTATGGTGCTGTATACTTCGTCAGTTTCAGGTCTCAGTGGGAAAAAAATGTAAACTGGGGGATTTGTTTTAAAAGGCGTTTATGTATTGCGCACTCTCAGTAGAACATTATACCAAAGGGAAAGGAAAAAAAACACTTTGTTTTGTTTTGTTTCTTCAGCTATGTGGCTCTTTATTATGCATACTGACAATTTAAGAGCATTGTTTATTTCAGGCTCTTTGAGAATCCTAATATGGGATTATCCTCATTAAAAAAACACTAAATATGTAAGACAGTTTAATGCACTTTCCAGCTGACCATGTGGCAGGCCCATTGTTTGATCCCTCTAGTATACATCCAGATTGACTTAATTTACCTCGAAAGCTAATGGAAGAGATTATTCACATTATTAAGCAGCAACATGGCAATGGTGGAGTGATTTAATAACTGCCTTTCTAAACAGTGAGCTCTTGCTGCAAACTGAGGGCAAATTCTTAAATCTGGGAATCTTTTTGAAACTTTTGTTGGAGGACTTTAACATCCAGAATGAAAATGACTGAAATGTGTTTACATATGTGTAAAAGATGGGGGGCCAGGGAGAATATAAACTCACATGTGAACTTTAACATAATATTGTGTTACTGCAGCATAATTTTTTTTAAAAACTCTCATTTTTGATACCATCACGGACATCTGCAAGAATAATACAGAGTTGAAATCTCAAGACCATTTAGTGTGTCTTCTGTCCTCTGCTACATTTATTAGTCTGTACTGCACATTGGATGGATTTCTCTAACTTTATATTTGGATCTCTGTCTAGAGTAGCACAATCATTTTTATGACTGCATGTATGGAAAAGAAGGACCAAGTTATTGTGGTACAATCCTGGATTGATCTATTTATTTACTCAAAGGTATGATTACGAAAAGGTATGGTTTTGTATGTGTGCTGTATATTAAGAACACATACTCCGGGATTAATTGATTACAGTACACCAAAACACAGAATCATAAAATCATTGAGTTGGCCATGACATCCAGCCCCCTGCTCTAGTTGAGAACTAGAACTGATGCTATATAAAATTTTGTTTGATAAATGAATGTTTTTGGGCTCAAGGAACAACCTCCCTCTCCCAGGATCAACAGAGATTTTAGGAGAAATCTAAAAAGCACCTTATATGTTCAAGTATACTAGTAACTGTTTCCTCGACCCTTCAGTATTGCACATTTTCACGACCACATCTTCTCAGAGGTAAGTCAAACTGAATTCACTGCGTTTTACATCACTGGCTAGCTCGGTGGGTTAGGTACTGTATCTGACTAGTTCCCCACTGTGCATCCCACAAGAAGAGCCAGCTGGAGTAGCCTTGGGTAAACTGCATAATCCCAGGGCATCCCCCAAAGAAGGGAATGGTACACCACTTCCGAGTACTCTATACCTAGAAATCTCTGACAAGAGTCACCATGTGTCCAGATCTACTTAAGGGCACTGTGGGTTTTTAAATAACCTTCTCTTGGAGTAATCTCCATGGAACTCAGCTGGACTTACAGCTGACTAAACATGCATAGGATCACACAGTCTGTCTTCTCAGAGCAACTACATCTACGGCACCTGACTACTGCTGCAACTCACACAGCTTCCTTCTTTTCAAGCACAGTCTGGATTGTTTTTTCCTAATCTAGTAAGGCAGGCTCGCACTCTGCAGCAGTTACACCGCTTAAGTTCTCACTCTGTCTGTCAGAAAGAGCAAGCAGACTCCTCCTCCATTCCCCTCCCTAAAAAGCCTTGTCAGTTGGACTGCCTCAGTAGGCTTGATGAGCTGTGAAGTGGACTAGACTTCTCAGCAGAGTCTGAGAGATGCGAGGAAGAAGCGATGATGGCAAAGAAAGAAGTCCTGCACTGGTGATGCTGCACCCTAGGGATGCCAAAATGATGTGCAGGAGAAAGAGGGAAAGACTATCCTGCAAGCTCATGAGGACAAACATGGGCAGCACACATCCAAGCGCGTTCTCTCTCTCTCTCTCTCTCTCCCAGTCAGCAGGACAGCCAGGAAGGATAGAAAGATCTCCCCAAGTGTCCTGTGTTCCACAAATTGCTGCACAGAATGGGGCTGTCACAGCACACATTTTGCATGCTAAAGAATAATTTCTGCTATGTGTGTCAGTAATAAATGAAAGAACTGCAAAGTGTATGCAGAGTGCCCTTCTCTCACACAACCAACAATCACAACAAGCTTCTCTCTATATACATCTAGGAGTAATAGGCAAGACTGCTGAGACACAAGCAGATTTGGCCCCGGGCAATTTTTTTGTTTTGCTCTGTGAATTTAAACTCCAGCCTGATCTGCTTCTGTACCTCCTTTTCTACCTTACAGCCCTTTCTCACACACAATGAAAGACCTAAGGACTGGCAGACAAAGCTTGGGATAAAAGAGTAAGGAGATCCAAAGCCTTCTACTACCAAGGACCAGAGGAACCGCTTGAGGGTGACAGGAGGTCTAAGGGATCAAAGAAAAGCAAAACTCTTCCCCAAAATGAAAGGAGAAACTTCTGTGTCCTGAGGTGGACAAAGGCAAAACTGCTCCTTCAGATTTTGACATGGCACAGAAGGGAAGAGCTTGTACAAATCTTTCTGTTCTCACTGGGAAATGAAAGGGGGACTTGGCTGAGTGGAACAACTCTAACTGGTACACATATACACCAGCTCCGTAGCAGCCAGCATTGCAGGTTTTTCTTTAATTTTTTATGATGCCAAGCAGTTTTGTAAAAAGCTACTAAGTCATGATACATGCCACAGATTAATCACTCCAGACCACCTTCTCTCTCTCTCTCTTAAATGTTGTATGAATGATAAAAGAAAATGCTCAAAATAATTTTATTTGCCTGGTGCAGAGAGAGAGAGAGAGAGAGAGAGAGAGAGAGCAACAGGAATCCAGGTTAGCAACAACACCTTCTTCTGTTTAAGTAAATAAATACCTAGTGGATGGAATTAGTGCACTTTCCCCCCATCCTTATGTCAGGGAATACTGTTCACACAGTTCAGACACGAGTTGCTAGTTAAATTCAGGGCAGAAGCCACAGCAAAAACAGAATCTCAGACAGAAAAACATACCACACTGGAGGAGACCGTCT